TATTATTTTCTCTTCCTTTGCTGTCCTATTAAACTGTCTTTATCTCAACCCACGGGTTTTACTTTTTTTTTTTCTGATTCTCTTCCCCATCCCACGGGGGGGGAGTGAGTGAGTGTCTGTGTGGTGCTTAGTTGCTGGCTGGGGTTAAACCACGACAAGAGCCAACCTTAAATATAATAAAATAATAAATATCGAGCAACAGCCTTTATAATAAACTGGTTGTTTAAGTATTAATGTAGCATGTTTCAAGTAGTGATTTATGAATGATGAGTCAGACTTGGAATTCAAAACTTGTTTGACAAAACAGAGCAAACAATATAAAGATTTTGTATGATTAAATTGCTTATTGCTTAAGCTCAATTTACTGTTAGCTTTTGTTAAATTAATCCAAAATAAAATCAAATCCAGATTCAAACCCTGGACCTTCTCTATAATGATCTGAGTACAGTCAAGTAGAAACTGCATTCTCTAGCCTCGAGATGCTCATTAAAATTAGAGTTTTCAGTGAGAAACCATGCAGTTATGAAGGGATTGAATCAACAGCTGGCATTTTTACAGTGAGCTTTGAGTTTTCATTTAAGACATTAGATTTTAGTGCATCTCTGATGATTTAGTATGTCTAGCTGTACATAATTCACTGTGTATCATATCTAACAGGTCTGGCTAGCCTTTTTATTTTTTTGGAATACGAGGATTTCACAGAGCTCAAAATGGGGCTTTGTCTATGTTACGAGCTGGGAGGAGAAATGCTGTCACTCCATTTTGCGTCTGCTCCAGGTGTGAGTGCCCAGTGACAGTGGCACCCAGATAACTTGAAGTGAAGCAGCTGACGTAGGGACGGCAGTTCACTTTGCAAGACCCTAGATCCAGCTCTTCTGTAGTCCCCTCTAGGCTACTCCTAGAGTGTCATTGCTGCCTGAACGGTCTTTGTAAGCCCTGCTGGGGAGCTGGGACATTTTGCCCAGGTGGATTTCTTTCCTTGTTGGTGTGTATGGGTGTGTGTCTAGGTGCTTGGAGACCTCATTTCAGGATAGTATGTTAAAAGGGCTTTATCTCACTAACACTGTCCTTTGCAGACACAGTCATGTAGTATATTTTAATGTTCATTGCAATTGCTTACCTAGAATGGTAATGTTAAGGTAAGGTTTTTCATTTATTCTTACACAATTTATTTTATATTTTGTGTTTTTAAAAATTATATATCCTTTGGAACTTGAAATTTCCTGAGAAGTTAAAGAAAAGCTTAAGAAACTTGTTTCATATTTTGTTAATTCTTTGCTTGACTGTATGCAGTTTTTAATTTTATAAATCTTTATTATGTCACCTTTTCTTCCAAAAGCCTTATTTATTAACTTTTTAATTTCCTCACAGGAAGGCTTTTCTATAATTCACATTTTTCTGACCAGTCTCAGAATTTTCCTACTCTTTGGTATATCAATTGAAAACTGATTTGCATATTGAAACTGGATGGACTTCTTAAGTAATAACCTACTTTCAGCTTGTTCACTCTTTTTTTCTTAAACTGATTTCTTTTTTGTTTTTGTTTTTAACTGACTTAGGGACATCTAACTGATGTTTTCATTGAATTGTTCTCCAAATTGGTGTTTGAACCTTAATCCTAAGGGTCTATAAGAAGAAATTAGTTTCTTTGTACACACACGTACAGCACAAGTTTCAGTAGGTACAAGTCAGATGAGCCACTTAATTGCAAAACTAATTTAGCCTCAAAGTGAAGTGGTTGGAATGTGTCTCCCAGTTTTTACCAATTCTCTACAGTAATACCTACTAATGTTTTATGCATGTGTCTTATTTTTTTCCATGTATGGATTTTGGATATACGGGATAGCATAAATACCCTATTCCCTTTAGTCCCTATGATCACATTAGAAAGTAGACTGAGATTCTTTCTTTTTTTTTTTTTTTTTAATAGACTCAGAACCGTATGAAGCTGATGGCTGACAACTATGAGGATGACCACCTCAAATCCTCATCCCATTCCAACCAAACCAACCACAAGCCCTCCCCTGACCAGGTAATGTGTCTCTCTTTTTCACTTTTAAAGTAATTTTTACTATGGGGGCTGATTATTTTGAGTCGTATGTAATTTTCCCTGACATGCTTGCAGTACCTTGGAACAAAAATAGCATTCCAGAGTGCAGTTACAAACCAGAAATGGATGTTGCTGTTGTGTCGGCTTCGTTGAAAACTCCTGAAATGTGAACAAACAGTTCCTGGTACCAAGCTGTTATTAAGTGGGTGGAGAAGAGGGGGCAGACAATGAAAGGGAAGAAAGAGATGTTACTCTCTTAAAATGCACGAATGGAGTCCTGTCTGGCATATTCAGATTTTAGTAACTCAGGTTTACTGCTTGAGTGTGTGGAGTGTCCAGGACTGTTTCTTGTCTTCAGTAGCAGGAAATCATGCTCCAGGATCAGCTTTCTGATCTATGGATTGCATATGAGCAGTTCCCTTCGTTTCCCATGAGGAAATCCCGGCTTCTGTGCCAAATGAGCACAGACTGCTCCCTCACAAACTCAATGGGCCGTGAACTGAAGGAAAATCAATTTACCATCTCCAAGGCAGTGAGGAGCCTCCTGTGTCATTTACAAAGCACAGCCGTGTGCTTGATAACTATCAGAGAGATTACCTGTCCCTTGGGTAGCACAGAAAATGCCAACATAATTGCATATCCCATGTTGTAATCTCATCCATTCCACTTTAATTAAAATATTAGCGATCATTAATCACTGCCTTGACAAAGCGAAGGAATGTTTGGCACTCCTCTTTGCCCTCTGGCTCATCTAGAAATTGTTGAGATTTGAAGGAAGGCTTCTCAATCTAGACCTTTAAGCACCAACCTAGTGATATGCAGAAATTATGAGTAAGGTAAAAGAGGAAAATGGCAAAAAACAATTACATATTCACCTTGCAAAAATAGATCTTTAAAAATCTCTTTTCATGTCTGTATCAGAAGACAATAAGGGGTATATACAAAGCAGAAAATTTCTTATTTTCAGAACAACTTCCTTTTGCATCTTGTTTTAGTACCCTCCTCCAGATGAGGAATAAAGAACTGTAAATTGACTAGCTTGAATTTTCTGTAATGTTTTTGGAAAATGTTGGTCCTTCTTACCTTCTTCAGGAGAGTGCAATTGTTAATACTGCAAATTAAATGGCTTTCCTACTCTTAATTTGGAGGAAACGTTAGAATATCTGTTGTTTCTACACTGCGAGTCTACAGCGAAATGAAGCCATTTCCAGAATGTAACTGTAGTACATGCTTGCAAATGAATGCAGCGTAGCATTCACAGATTAAATGAAAAGATAAAATGTAAAGAAAAGATAAAATTTAAACATTTAAGGAAGTTCTTGCAAAGACCTTACAGGGCAGGGCAGTAGGGAGGAGAGGGCAGGAGAATGGTCTGATTGCACTCTCCCTTTGCGTAGGGGCATTTTAAAAGCTGACAAAGCCTGCAAGAGAGCAAAGTAAGCTGTACCTCAAAGTGGCTCAGAAGGTTACATAAGGAATTAAACACTTTTTACTACTATTTGTACTTACTTATATGTGCTTTAAATACTAACCAACTCTTTATTTCATTCCCATGCTGCACTGGGGCTTTTCTCCCATTGCCACCTCTGCACCGCTAGGATGAGGAGGAGGGTATTTGGGCATAACCAGTCAGATGCTCTTAGTTCAGCCATTTTGTTCAGAACGGTGAGAATCAACTTTTCTTGCCAATAGAAAAGTTTCCGACAGTCACTCTCACATTTCGCTCCCGTGTGCTCTGTGAAACCTGGGTGTGCTCCTTCCCGCTTGCTTGCGTAGTCTCTGCATGAGGGTGTTTCTCGTGTGCTTGTGTGTAGTTGTGATTTTCTTCTTCTAATCATCGTGTCATTGCTTCATGATGTTGTGGGGAGAACTTTCCAGGGCATGTAATTGAGTTTCTATGCAAAGCAAACTCTTAATGCGTACGAGAGAACAGGAAATGTCTCTCATATCATTTATCGTTGACTTCATGGAGGAAATGTTTTCAGTCGGATTGTTTTTCAAAGCAGTTTGCACTGTAGCCAAATCTATGTGTGCTTTTTCGATTCCGGTTAGTAAAGAATTTGCTCAGAGATAATGTTCCTCCTGAAGGTTTTAAGCATGTTGAGATCTGCTGCCGAGATTGCTGCCATGTATGCTGACCTAACTAGTCACAGATATTTATCAGCTCAGAACAGATGATTCTTGATATGGACTAAGAATATAAGTTTTCTGTAAATTTGAAGGCAAAGAGGAATATCCCCTTAACCTTTCCCTCTCCCTTCCATCTCCCTCGTTCTCTCAAAAGAGTGGGGGAGAAGTTGGTAGCTATTTGTCATTTAAAGTACATTTTGTTTCTCTATGTCTGTGTCCACAATTTTCTCTTTTCTGCTGTCAAATTGTCTCCACCACAACCCCCATTTCCAGAATAGAATGCAGTGCACAGGACAGAGCCCTTCTCCCCACGTCTGTTCTCTAGCAAAGAAGAAAACATCCTTTACTGACCAGGAGCCTTGATATAGAGCTACAAAAGTCAAATATCGATTATTTGGCTACAGTACATATGATTAATTTATGCCTTGTAGTATCAGTTTAAAGCAGAATGAATTTATTTGAAGTACTTAAAGTATTGATATGCAATGACAATATTTTAAAAATTTATATGAAATTTTCTTTCTTCACTTATCCTTTTAAGAAAAATTATTTCACATGAGTTTCTTCGCAGTTTTTCTCAGAATTTGATTTTTCCACATCAATTATTTGAAAGAAAATTCTTCTGAAAATTTCTGTGGAAATTTTGGACCCTTGCATTTCTGAAAATTATTACTTCATGTTAGATTTGTAAAACATTCATGAAAGAATGAGCTACTCTCTCATCTCTTCACACTTGCTCAATTAACTGCAGACTTACACGTGTGTCTGCCTGTATAGATCAGATCCCTCTTTTCAAGTCAACCATCTGAAAAATTTAATCCAACCGTGGCAGTATCAAACTTGAATTTCATGCCTTGGGGTTTGAACTAAGAAAATCTCTTTAGTGGAAAAAATTGATAAAGTGCTTCATTAATTTACACTCACTGTTGATTTCACATTCTTTTTGAATCACTGCTCTTGCAATGGTTGTGTGTTAGTATATGAAGTTTTAGAGACAATGCTTGTAAAGATCTGCTGATGCATGGCAATTAAACAGGAAAGATCAGGTAAGCAAGTGATGAAAAGGAAGACGACGGTCACTATGAAGGTAGGAATAATTCTGATTTTTGTTCTAGAGCAAACATGGGGGTTGTGTAGAAAACACTGATAGATCTTTCTCTTTTCCTCTTCCATCTGCTGATACATTTATGAATGCAACTGTGCTAAGAGAATGGTTTCTCTTAGTTTATTGAATTAATGGGTGGTTCACATTAAATACAGCATATCTCTCCACTTTGTACTTGAGGCATTTTCCTCAGGAAAGCATGTTACAGAATATCCTAGTCAAAATAATGAAGCAGCCAGCATCTTTGCCTTACATGCATCTCATCTGAGAAACATGTCAGCCTCAAGATTGTCTTGCATACCTCAACAGGGAAAGTATAAAGGTGATTGATGCCTCCCAAGCCCGTTATTCCCAACAAAGTGCATGTTTCTACCATGATATTCCACGTACATTCAAAAAAAAAGTCCTTATTCTCTTTGTAAAAGCGAAGATGATGTAGGTCACAGAGTCCGTAACCTGCATATGTTAAATTAAATGTATGTATTACAATGATAAAAAAAGTTACTAATAGCGTAGGACTTGGCGATAACTTTGTTTTTTAAAGTTCCTTTAGGTCTGAGGTTGTAATCACCTCTTGTCAATACTGAAGATAAAATGGAGACCGTCAAAATACGTACAATAGCAAACTACATTATTTTATTTTTATGTTTGGGGGTTTAAGGCTTTTCCCCTACAGCATTCTGGAATTGGCCGAATTTAATATTTAATCATGCCAGTTCTGTACATGACAGCATTATCAGATATAGTTCCCCTGAAATGGAGCACTGTTTCTAAACATATGCGCCCTTCCTGTAGTTTCAGAGAATGCTAGTTTACATTTCAGTTTACAGTTCAATGTAAGTACCATATTTCATCCTGAAATAGTCTTTCCTAGCCTTTTTCTCTAGGCTCATTTCCTTGCTGTCTGAATTTCTTATGACTCCTTTTATTCCCCAGATGGAGCTCTATCCTCCTCTATATCCAAGCGTATTCCAGTGTGCTTTCTCAAAGGATGCCCCTCTGTCTTTCTCAAATGCTGAAATGTTCTGGCCAATGGCTTAATTAGTTGTTATTCACTCTCGTTAAAAATAATATGAATTTACACTTTATGATATCTCATACATACGAAAGGATATGTGTGTATGTGTGTGTATATTCTTGTAAATATGTACCATGCATGTGCTATATGGGGGAAAGAAGCAGCAAAGCTTCCATACATAAACTTCCCAAGCTGCTCAATTCATCTAGTTTTCTTGTGAAGCACAGCCATGCTACCTACGATGTGAGAAAGTGTGGGTGTCGTTCAGAAATCTGCTTGTATCACGTTTGCCCATCAGAAATGAAGAGGACTGCTTTTGTTGAATGGGTGTAGTGGGCATAGGATCACAAAAAACTGTTGGAAGAGTGAAAGACAATCAAATTAAAGAACACAGGGAAAAGCGAGGACAGAATAAAAGTACTAAGGGCAAGAACAGAGGAAGAGCAAAACTAAAACTCTGAGAACTGAGAGATTTATCCTGGTATGTAATTTATACATACTGTATGTGCGTTTTTAAGTATGCATGCTGCTGTAGACCATTTTTCTTCCCATCTTCCATGGCTCTGGCTTGCAGTACGAGTTGGAGCCTCGTAGATGCTGTCACTAGACAAGCTTTTTGAACTTATTCTGTGGAAGCATTTTCTATTAACGGTTGCCAACAAATCCTGAAGTTACGGATATGCCTGCTAAGGAGCAAAACATTTGGTTTTGCTGTGCTTGAATTCCAGG